ATTTTAAAATACTATATATTTTACAACAATCTCCTTCCTATTTCAAAAAATTCTTTGGATAAAAGAAGAATAATAAAAGTACTCTGCTGGACTTGGTTGAAATATAATTAGATTGGTGTCTTTTGGACTATGAACCAAACATAGATTGATAAAACATGATCTACAGAATTATTGGTGAAATATAAATTTATATGAACCAATAACTCTTGATGTATGACAGAGATTTTATCAATCACATTACAATCCATAATTTGCTATTAACGCGATTTTGCGCCTTTTGGCCATGCGCCTGCCTGGTTATTCATGAGAACTCTAAAGATTTGATCAATGAATCTTATAGGAGCAGCCCCACTCCATTCTCATATAGGTGAATTCATCAAGTGTGTATTGTTTTAACTACACCTCCCTAATGGGATATGAATTCATTAAGAGTTTTAACTCATCCTCACAATTACTCAAAGCACTTATCTCTGGAGGGACTTAAATTGAAGTGCTTTACCATCAATATTGACTTGTTATTACCCATATGAACCTATTTCATAGGATCACCAATCACATAGGTTGGGTTACCGTCTCTATTGACAACTTATTGGTCGAAGTCCCATTTCTTTTGTAGTTTGAAGAATCAATTTTCTTCCTACGGGTTTAGTTAGAGGATCGGCCAAATTCATCTCTGACTTTACATAATCAATGGAAATAATTCCATCTCTAAGCAGCTGCTTTACGACATCATGTCTCAATCTCATGTGTCGACTTTTACAATTATACGATTTATTTTTAGCTATGGCAATCGCTGCTTGACAGTCACAATGTATGGACACAGGAGGCAACAAATCCTTAGTTGAAGGAATATTAGCTAAGAAATTTTTCAACCACTCGACCTCAGTCCTGTCAGTTCCAGAACTACAAACTCTGACTCCATTGTTGATCTAGCAATGATTGTCTGTCTAGCAGATTTCCATGCTATTGCACCACCACCAAGGGTGAACACATAACCACTAGTGGATTTCGTATCATTTGAATCAGAGATCCAATTAGCATCACTGTAACCCTCTAATACAGTGGAAAATCCACTATACAGGATACCAAAATTCATGGTACCTCTCAAATATTTCATTAGTCTGACTAATGCAAACCAATGCTCACGGTTGGGATTATGGGTATATCTACTCAGTCGACATACAGCATAAGCTATATCAGGTCTAGTGAAATTTATCAGATGCATCAGACTCCCAATAATCTGAGCATATTTAGACTGAGCAATTGGGTCACCATTATTTTTCTTTAATTGAGTGTTAGCATCATAAGGAGTACTCACAGGTGTCACATCATAATTTTCAAACTTCCTAAGAAGTCTCTCTGTATAATGTTCTTGTGACAACATTATACCATCACCTTTCCTTATGATTTTAACACCCAATATTATTTTGGTTTCACCCAAATCTTTCATATCAAAATTAGAAGACAAAAAATATTTAGTACTATTTACAATATCTAGACTAGTACCAAATATAAGCATGTCATCCACATATAAACTGATTATCACATATTGATCATTTATAATTTTGAAATATACACATTTATCCACTTCTACAGACGAGAATCCATCTTTTATCAAGACTTGATCAAATTTCTCATGCCACTGTTTATGAGCTTGTTTTAGACCATAAAGAGATTTAATTAGTTTGCAAACCTTATTTTCTTGTCCAGATACAATACATCCCTCAGGTTGAAATACATAAATTTCTTCTTCTAAATCACCATTTAAAAAGGCTGTTTTGACATCCATTTGATGAATAACAAGTTTATGGATAGAAGTTAAAGCAAATAAAACTCGAATAGACGCAATTCTAGTTACTGGTGCAAATGTATCAAAATAATCAATATTTTGTTTTTGAGAAAATCCTTTTGCTACTAAACGAGATTTGTACTTTTCTATAGAGCCATCAGAGTTATATTTTCTTTTAAAAATTCATTTGCAACCAATAGGTTTTGCACCAGAAGGTAAGTCTGCCAAAATCCAAGTTTTATTTGACAAGATAGAATCAATTTCAGATTTAATTGTTTCTTTCCAAAATTTACACTCAGGAGAAGAAATAGCAGCGGAGTATGTTAAAAGATCATTATCAACAAGAAAGGTTTGGAAATCTTTTCCAAATGAAAATTCTTTTCTTGGCATTTTGCTCCTTCTTAATTCCTCAATTGGAATAATTTCCTTATTTATTTCAACAGGTGCATGAGAAATTTTACTAGACAGAGGAAAAATATGTTCAAAAAATTCAGCATTCTTTGTCTCAATAATTGTATTACAATCAAGTATATCACTTCTTAACACAAGAAATCTATATGCAGCACTATGTTCAGCATATCCAATAAACATACAATCAGAAGTTTTAGAACCTATTTTCCTTTTCTTAGGTTCAGGCAACAAGACTTTAGCAAGACACCCCCAAACTTTTAAATATTTCAAATTTGGTTTATAATTTTTCCATAACTCATAAGGTGTTTTGCCAGTCTTTTTATGTGGGATTCTATTTTGTAAGTGACATGCAGATAATATAGCTTCTCCCCATAAATTATCTGGAGCATGAGAACTAATTAACATAGAGTTCATCATTTCTTTTAACGTTTTATTTTTCCTTTCAGCTACTCCATTAGATTCTGGTGAATAAGGTGGAGTTATTTCATGTATTATGTCTTCCTGTTCACAAAGATTATCTAAAGTTAAATATTCTCCACCCCTATCTGATCTAATTCTTTTTATCCTTTTATTAAGTTGATTTTCTACTTCAGACTTATAGGATAAAAAGGCATTATAAGTATCATCTTTATTTCTAAGTAAATAAACTTTTGTATATCTGGAATAGTCATCTATAAAGGTGACATAATACCTTTTCCCACCTCTAGTCATTGTTTGTTTTAAATCACCTAAATCAGTATAAATTAAATTTAATAACTCAGTTTCTCTATGGACAGTTATACAACTTTTCTTTGTTATTTTAGCTTCTGCACATATTTCGCATTTGTCCATATTATCATTAATACCAGAAATTAGGCCACATGATTGCATTTTCTTTATATAACCAATATTAACATGTCCTAATCTAGCATGCCATAAAGAAATGGAATCAACAATATAAGCAGAAGAAGATGCATTTTCATTGATCACATTGGAAATAGTAAGTACAAAAAGTCCCTGATTACAATAGCCTTTCCCAACAAACACATTATTTCTTGTCATTATAATCTTATCAGATTCGAATGACACTTTCACCCCAACTTTTCCAAGCAAAGCTACAGAAACAAGATTTGCCCGAATATTTGGAACATGCAGCACATCATTAAGGGCCAAAGTTTTTCCTGAAGTGAGTTTCAAGAACACTTTACCCTTACCAAGAACTTTAGTAGTTCGTGAGTCTCCAAGGTAGACTACTTCTCCATCATCCTCTATTAGAGTATAGGAGGAAAACGCTTCTCGATTTGCACATATGTGCCGAGTAGCTCCAGAGTCTACCACCCACTCTTTCACATTGGCTGCAATGTTTACTTGTGAGATAACTGCAGCAATTATTTCATCTCCTTCAGTTAAATTAACCTTAGGAGGATTACCATTTGCTTTGTCACCTTTATTGTATCTATACAGGGCAGCATAATGTTCTGATTTTCTACAATAATGGCAATTGCCTTTCTTTTTCTTAAAGTTGGGAATATTAGGTTTGTAATTGGGATTTTTTGGTCTATTATACTGGGACTTATTGGCTTGCACATAGCTACAATACACATCAAATAATTCATTTAAAAGTGTTTGTAAAATAGTATTTCGACATACCTTATTGGCATATTGCCACGACTCATGTATCTTGACATCTATGGTGGCAGCAGGTTGAGATTCTGTCAGTGCATAGGCCACTCCATGTATGTCGAGTAGAGAGTAGACACGTTCTTGCCACCTTTTGAAGTTTTCGTCAACAAAAACCTCAATTCTAGAGACGTCAGGAAATGGCTTCGCAAAAGGTAGTGCCACTGCAACAGTTGCTGATGAAGACTGTGGGGGTACTAACATTGTCATATGCCATAGTTTCTTAGATTGTTGGATAATTGGCTACAACAATGTTAACACTATCTGCTTGAGTCGTGCGTAGCACTGCCCTAAAAAACTATTTCATGAAATTGAAATGTTTCCTCAGGATTAAACAAGCTTTCTTCTATTTGTTGCGAACAAGAAAGACAAGCTTTCTTCTTGTTGCAAACTAGAAGGACCAGAACTAGCAAATTAAAACCAGCAGATATATATAAAAGACAAGAAGATGAGAACAGAATTATCAAGACGATATCAACTAACAAAAAAAAAAAATAAAAGAGAGAGATAGAGAGAGAGAGAGAGCAGCTATCAAAAGATATCAACTGAAGCTGTTGGGGTGATTTTCTGAGGAAGGAGTGGATCCTATTTATAGACTTCAGAATGAGGTGCAACCCTTCTCACTTCCGATGTGGGACAAAGACTGCAACCCTTCTCACTTCTCAATGTGGGACAGAGAAAGCAATACTTCTCATTTTTCGATGTGGGACAAAGAATATTTTGAAATACTATATATTTTACAACAACATGCTTCTGCTGGACTGCATTGTAAATTCTGATGCAACAGTTATCAGCAAATTTGTAAAGTTGATCTGCTTTACACCTAGTCACATAGTTGCAAATTCTCAAGGAAATGCTGTCATCTATAAAAGACTAAGCGATTTTCTGAGCGAAATTTTAACACAATCATGCTCTATATCTAGGAAGGAATACTGCCAGGTAATTTTACTTAAAGTTTGTGAGGTCTTTCATTTATGATCCACAGAGATTTTGGCGACCTTTGCAATTTATTTTGCATTAGACACCATACCTCTCTTCAGTATGGTGTCTAAAATTTGGTAACATTTAGTGAATAAGGAACGAAAAAGAAAAGCGAAATGACAAAAGAAGTAAAGAAATAACAGAAGGTTGTTATAAAAATTCCAAGACCTCACGATGCAGGGATCACCAGGCTCAAGCAAGTAGTCATAGTCCTCTCTTCTTGCTCTGTTACCCTCCTTTATGTTAAAGCAATGAAGAAACAAGCACTGCTCAAATCAACAAGTTTCACACTACATACATACATCCGGCACTTAGATTTAAGGCATAGGTTATGGTAACTTAGATTTAAGGTACTGCATGCATGGGTTCTCAAGGTGCATAACCACCACGACCACCACCACTTCCACCACCATAGCCTGAACCACCGCCAGCGCCACCACCAGAACCACCTCCGTGTCCACCACCTGCTCCTTCACCGCTCCCATATCCACCTCCACTAGCTCCTCCTCCCCCAGCACCTCCACCATGTCCACCTCCAGTTCCATAACCACCACCATTACCACCTCCTTCACCTCCCACAGAACCACCTCCGCGTCCACCACCTGCTCCTTCACCGCTGCCATGTCCACCTCCTTTAGCTCCTCCTCCTCCAGCTCCTCCATAACCACCACCATTGCCACCTCCTTCACCTCCCCAAGAACCACCTCCGCGTCCACCACCTGCTCCTTCACCGCTGCCATGTCCACCTCCATTAGCTCCTCCTCCTCCAGCTCCATAACCACCACCATGTCCACCTCCGTAGCCTCCACCAGAACCACCTCCGTGTCCAGCTCCATAACCACCACCATAGCCACCACCAGAACCACCTCCGTGTCCACCACCTGCTCCTTCACCGCTGCCATATCCACCTCCATTAGCTCCTCCTCCTCCACCATGTCCACCTCCAGCTCCATAACCACCACCATCAAGACCTCCATAGCCACCACCAGAACCACCTCCGTGTCCACCACCTGTTCCTCCACCATAACCACCCCCGGCGCCTGCACCGCCACCGTAGCCATAACCAGTTCCACCACCAGTACCATGGCCAAAGCCACCCCCTCCTGTAACGCCACCTGAGCCTTCGTCGTAGTCTCCTCCTCCAAAACTGAGTAGTGATCTGCATTCACAACTTATTGTTAATGCCGAATAAAACAAAGAAGAAAAAACTGAGAACTTTGTGAGTAGCCATGATGATTAGAATGTTTCTGACTTGTTAGTGTACCGAACCGTGGGAAAAGGGAGTGGTTGAAATCACATGCATAAACAAAATTTAATTTACGCCACGTCCCTACGATGTGATTTTGCAATTTGCACGAATACACACCCATAGTTCTTACCATCACTCTCAATTTTTGCCGTCTCCCATAGAGCTTAGAAGATTATATAAGATTGGTACACAGCTTTTTGACGGATTCTGAAACAAAAGAAAAATCTTTGATTTATTTATGGACTACGTACTGTTTGTTTAAGTGTGTACATGCTATTAAGTTAGGATTTAATCTTTTAGAACACATATTGCATTTTCAATTCTTTTTTTTTTTTGTCAGAATCGAAGTATGAACTTTTACCGTCTAAATCTTTGAACTACAAAACGAATTTTAAAATTTGTGAACGTAACAGATTATGTACTTAGCATGCATGTTAAAAGTTCGGCAAAGACCCTTTGAAAATTTTTATTTTTATTTTTTTAATTTTCCTTGGCCAAAAATTTGTATTATATGCTTTGAGATTCAACATTCTCATATAATGTAATTAATTAAATAACTAAATACTATTCTATAGTCCTATAAACAACTAAATATGTAATTCTAATTTAATAAAAACCTAAAAAAAAAATCGATTTTGCTACCACTTTGAGTTTCTAATAATTTAAATTAGTTTTTTTTTAATTTAATACTGGTACTAGTGACTAAGGTTTGATCCTGCCATCATCCAAGAGAGAAGAGAAAGAGGAAGAGGAGGAGGAGGAGGATGATGATTAATAGAAACTAGTCACTGCAAATTTAAATAGATGAATCCCCTCACGCACTTTGCTCAATACTCAATAAATATATGTTTCTAAAGGAAGAATTGTTCGTTTCCGACAACCAGGACAAAGAAAAGAAAATCATGGCCTCAAAGTCCCCTCCACCCTAATCTAGACAAGAAAATCATGCTAACAAAGTCCCCTCCACCCTAATCTGGCTAGCATCAAATGGTCCAGAGGTGGACCTTTAATTGTTCTTTCCAATCACTTCTAATGCAATCAGGAGACGGAAGACAGATTTAGAAGAGTAAACTTACAGGAAAGATGGCGGGTTGGAAGGCCATTCGGGAACATATTTTTCTAACGGATAGCAGTGAAGCCGGAGATAGTCTCTCCAATTGTGAACGGTCTTCTTTTTCTCATTAAAGCTTGTTGAAAGCCTCGTGGTTTTGGATGGATCGTCGGAGTACCACTTGAGCCTCTCTTCAACCGGGAGACTAAAGAATTCCGTCGCCGCCTCAAGCATTTTGTCCACCGCAACCTTGGAAACCGCTTGATTTATTACCTGGTGAAGTGATCCCACAAAAGAAGATGAAAAAAAAAAATTCAGGGATATTTTCCAAATGACACGAATGATAAATCTCTAGAGCAAGACTGGGTACTGTTTTCACCCATAAATGAAATGCCAGGGGGAGGTGAAAAAAAGGCCTGAAAGCTGAAAATGACCGCTGGAAAAATGAAAATATTAATTTGTCAACCTGGACAAAACCATAGTCCCGACACGCATCTCCAATTCGTCGGAAAACGAGGTTCCTATCCCCGAAGCCGAGGACAATTACGGGGACATTTTCGCAATCGGAAACTTCAGAGAGTCTTGGCCTTTCGGATCCTGGACGGAAGTAGCTTTCCAGGAGGCTGGCAAACTTATTGATTCCGCTGGAAGTAACCTTAGTTTCCATGGAACTTGCAGGCCACTGGAAAGGGGAAACAATTAAAAAAAAAAATAAAAATTAAGAAGGGATGCTGAAGCAGGCCTTAACCGTTAGGACGAGTACAGTGCTGCACCGCCACTCCAGCTATTTAGGCTTTAGGCTTCTTCCTGGAAAATGCTTCGTTCCTGGGCATATATATACAATTATACGTAAGGCTCTCCTCTTGGCAGGGATGGTTCGGGAGAAGTAGTTTTGGTTGACTCAAAAGTATACAACCAATCGCTAATTTACACTTGGGACTTTTAGACACGTCCTTTTCTTTTTGCTTGCACTTATCATGGATACTTTAGCATGTGCTATTGTGCTTGGAAGCCTTGGATGCAGTTTACAATTAGGCTTTACTACGATTGAATTATTTAGACAGGAGTATTTAGATTTTCAACTCAGAATTAGACATGAGATTCTGGGTACTGGGTAGTTCATTTTAGGTGATAAAAGGATTTTTTTTTTATGGGCACATGTTATTACACAAACTTAAATTCATAATAATTGCACTTCTTGCAGTATGCCTTAAATTCATTAATAAGGCAAAATTCGGTTCCCAAATTGTCCATTTCGTTGGATTTTTCATTCGGCGCCTGCCGTATGGAGTTGGTCTCCTCGCCCTTGACCCCATGCTGCAATTGTTAGCTGTATGCCCTAGAGCATTAATAATTATTGCCTTAATTAAAATAAAATGGCACTTTTTGATTCAATTATTCTTGGTTTAGATTTGATTGAATGTTGTCTGTTATTCTCATGTGATGAGGATATGAGTGAAGGAAAAATTTGGTACAAATAATATTAAATTGTTCCCCATGGTCTCTTATATTTGTATTATAAGTTACAGTAGTTGAGTTTTATTTCAATGTAAGACCGGCCCCCCCCGGCTGACGCCGAGTGAAGAAAATCATTTATTAATTATTGCCTGCCGTCGCCGTCTGGCAAGGGAAGTCCGGAGCTGCTTCCTCTGACCCCATTTGGTGGAAGACTCTTGATCAGTACAAATTACAGAATTCAAAAAAGGTGGACCTTTACTTCTCAGGTTTCTAAGCCCTTCCCAACGGGGTTATTTGATAAAGGGGTTATTTGATAAAGATATTATAAAATATTTTTTTTGGTGATATAAAGACTAAAGTAGTATATAAAAAGAAAAGGACCTCTGTTATGAAATAATGATAAGATGTGGATGTCTGTTGATATTCTCAAAAAGGATTACAAGATGAAGATGTCCGTTTGTATTCTCAAGATGATAGTCACATGTATTCTCTCTAGATTCATTGGTACATTGGATGAACTCATTTATGGATGTATTTGATGTACTAATTCGTGTATTTGTATTTAATAGGGTTCATGTACCTTTGATCTTGGATCACCTATATATAGGGATGTATCCTACTTTATTTGTAACCTTGGTAATCTTGAGACTTGGAAGTACTTTGATAAGTAAATATAATAATTCTATCTCTCTCTTTTCTTACTCTACTATTCCAATCCCTATTTTTGGGAGTTTTTTGTATTAGTTTCACAACACGTTATCAGCACGAGTCTTTACCTTGAGTTAAGGAAAAGCACGAGTCTCTACTTTGAGTGAAGGAAAGGCGCGAAGCAAAAGTAAAGCACGAGACGTGTCAAGGTTCTGCCCGAACAACTTTTGACTACTTATCAAGGTAAAATTCTTTCCTACGTATCTATTACATATTCTTATGGCTAATCTCACAAAACAAGAGTTCGCATCTCTTGATATTTCTGGAAAAAATTATTTATCGTGGGTATTGGATGTTGAAATTCATCTTGAGGCAATGGGTCTTGGTAATACTATTGTTGATGAGAATGATGCTTCAAACCAAGACCGGCTAAGGCCATGATTTTCCTTCGTCGTCATTTAGATGAAGGATTAAAAGTGGAGTATCTTACTGTCAAAGATCCTCTTGTCCTTTGGCGAGATTTGAAAGAAAGATTCGATCACCTGAAGTTGGTCGTTCTTCCAAAAGCCCGATATGATTGGCTCCACTTACGACTACAAGATTTCAAATCTGTCAACGAATATAATTCAGCTATGTTCAGAATTACTCCTCAATTATCATTGTGTGGCGAAAAAGTCACTGATGAAAATATGTTAGAAAAAACATTCTCTACTTTTCATGTCTCTAATATGCTCCTGCAGCAGCAATATAGAGAAAAAGGATTTAAGAAGTATTCTGAACTTATTGCATGTCTTTTGTTGGCTGAACAAAATAATGAATTATTGTTGACAAATCATGAGTCCCGACCAACTGGTGCAAGTCCATTCCCTGAAGCGAATGGAACTCAATTCCAAAATTCTGGTCGAGGTCGTGGACGTGGTCGTAGCCGTGGACGTGATCGTAGTAGATTTGTGCCTCGTGAAAATTATAGCCGTGGCAAGCAACAAAATATTTTCCAAAAAAGGGAAAATAACTACGATCCGAAAAATGGAGAAAAGAAAGTTTATGAAGAAAAATGCTACCGGTGTGATATGGAAGGTCATTGGTCCCGTACCTGTCGAACGGCTGAGTATCTTGTTGACCTCTATCAAGCATTATTGAAAAAGAAAGATAAAGGTGTTGAGACAAATTTCATTGATCAAAAGAATGATTATGATGATGTTGATGATGCTGATATGACACAACTCGATATAGCTGATTTCTTTGAACATCCTGAAGATGTCAACAAATATCCCATGATTGTTTAGATATTTTTATAATGCTTTATCTATTTCATGTAATTTTCTTTTCATTTAATGTTTATCTTCGCATCTTTATTAATGTTTATTTTTGTTTGAATTTTTCTTCCTGAAGAAGAAATGAATGTCAAATATTTGGGATCAAATAATGATGATGATAACATTTGTCTCGTTGATAGTGCTTCTACGCACACCATATTGAAAAATAAAAAATATTTTTCTTATTTAACAATGGGAGAGATAAATATTAATACCATCTGTGGTAGTGCAAAATTAATGAGGGTTCCGGAAGAGCCACTCTATTTCTCCCTGAAGGAACTAAAATTATCATAAATAATGCACTACTCTCTCCCAAGTCTCGGAGAAACTTGTTGAGTTTTAAAGATATCCGCGATAATGGATATCACATCGAGACAATGAATGAGACAAATGGTGAATTTTTATTAATTACAAATACCATTTCTGGAGGAAAATGTGTATTAGAAAAATTGCCTTCCCTTTCTTCTGGCTTATATTATGCACAGATAAGTGATATTGAAATTCATCACCTAGCAGACCAGAAGTCTGCTCATCCCAATGATTTTATTATTTGGCATGATCGTCTCGGACATCCTGGGTCCATTATGATGAGACGAATTATTGAGAATTCGCATGGACATTCACTGAAAAATCAAAAGGTATTGAAATCAAATGAATTCTCCTGTGTTGCCTGTTCTCAAGGAAAATTAATTGTTAGACCATCACCAGCTAAAGTTGGGACTGAATCTCCAACATTTCTAGAACGAATTCATGGTGATATATGTGGACCTGTAGATCCACCATATGGACCATTTCGATATTTTATGGTGCTAATTCATGCATCAACTAGATAGTCACATGTATGTTTGTTATCTACTCGCAACATAGCGTTTGCGAGATTGCTTGCTCAGATAATTAAATTACGAGCACAGTTTCCTGATTATCCTATTAAAAGAATTCGTTTAAATAATGCTGGTGAATATTTTTTGACGAGTATTGCATGTCCATTGGGATAACTGTTGAACATCCTGTAGCCTATGTTCACACACAAAATGGTTTAGCCGAATCATTTATTAAAAGGCTACAATTAATTGCTAGACCATTGTTGATGAGGTCTAAACTTCCCTTATCTGCTTGGGGACATGCTATATTGCATGCAGCAACACTTGTGAGAATCAGGCCGACTGGTTATCATAATTATTCCCCCTTACAATTAGTATTTGGTTTTAAACCAAATATTTCTCATTTACGAATATTTGGGTTGTGGTTTATGTTCCTATTGCACCGCCCCAACGTCGTAAATTGGGCCCCCAAAGACGGTTGGGAATATAAGTCGGGTATGAATCACCTTCTATTATTACATATATTGAGCCATTGACAGGTGATTTATTCACTGCAAGATTTGCAGATTGTCATTTTGATGAATCACATTTCCCGACATTAGGGGGGAGGAACAGATCAACCGAAAAAGAAATTTTCGGAAAAGGAAATCCCGAAAAAGGAAATCATTTGGAAAATCTCATTAGATTTCCTGGATCCTCGTACAAAAGAATGTGAATTAGAAGTTCAAAGGATCATACATTTGTAAAATATTGCAAATCAATTGCCGGATGCATTTAGTGACTCCAGAAGAGTCACCAAATCACATATTCCTGCTGAAAATGTTCCGATTAAACTAAATGTCCCTGAAGGAAAAATCACAAGTGCTAATGAACCCAAAGCACGCCTGAAGGGTGGAAGACTTCTTGGTTCCAAAGATAAAAATTCTCGAAAGAAAAGAGGATCAAATGAATCAATAATTAGTGACAAAATTCAACCTCCTGAAGAGGTCGCTCCTGAAAATCCAGCTCTCAAAGAGCCAACTCCTAAAGAGAATGAAATTATAGAAAATTCAATAAACTTTGTCACTACAAGAAAAAGTTGGAACCGAAGAGAAATAATTGTTGATAGTACTTTTGCATATAAAGTAGCACTTGATATTATGATAGATGACGAGGATCATGAGCCCAGATCGATTGATGAATGTCGGCATAGAAATGATTGGCCAAAATGGAAAGATGCGATACAATCTGAATTAAATTCACTGGCTAAAAGGAATGTTTTTGGACCTGTAGTCCAAACACCTGAAAGTGTAAAACCAGTTGGATATAAATGGATTTTTGTGAGAAAAAGGAATGAAAAGAATGAAACAGTGAGATATAAAGCAAGACTTGTAGCCCAAGATTTTTCACAAAAGCCTGGATTTGATTATGATGAAATGTATTCACCTGTAGTGAATACGATCATATTTAGATATCTTGTGAATATTGCAGTGCATGAAAAACTTGATATACGTTTGATGGACGTTGTCACTACTTATTTGTATGGGAA